CAATAACATGTGCTGCTTTAAGACCATGTTGACTAAGTTAAGCTGGGATGTGTAGTGTGGATCGTTAAAAATCGCCTTTCGTTCTGGTCTCTGGAGAGATTTCTGCTGGCGGAATCTGGTCAGATATTTCATAACCCCTAAGTTAAAATGTGTGCAGACAGGGGAGACGGCCAGGGGACTGTGTTGGAGGAACTGTGGTGAACAGCTAGCGGACCATTTTCATATATTTTGGAGCTGTCCAGCTATTCAGCCATACTGGCAAAAGATTACACAAGTAGTACAAAACATTTTTGGTGATGAAATTAACAGCTCTTTTTCTACAATCTACCTGGGTAATATTGCACCCCATATGTTGGGGCCAGACAAATATCTTTTAAAAATATTATTAGCAGCTGGTAAGAAAACCGTAACTCGAAACTGGTTACAGACCACACCTCCGGCAGTGTCAGACTGGATCAATATTGTGACCAATATCCAAAATATGGAAAGGATGACCTTTTCGTTAAATCAACAGACTGATAAATATTTGCACTATTGGGAAAAATGGATTGTGTACATATCCAAGAGAGGTGCTCATTGAGCCATCATTGTATTTGTAACTCCACCAGTATAATGTCTGAATGAATGTATAGGTGACCAACTGTTTACTCTATGTCTCTCTGTATGTTGTCTATATTCCTTCTATAAAAATAAAGTACAAAAAAAAAAAAAAAAAAAACGCCTTCCATATCCCAAGGAATTCCCCTCGGTCTATATGTATCCATCCATGATGTTACTTCCTTGAAAGCCAACAGCATGTGTGTTGTCTTTGCACAGATCACAGCGTCCCCCTCGCTATCTCCTCTGCAGCTCCCGCCCTGGCTATCTGTCTACCCCACACAATGCTTTGGGCTGAAACTCAGAGGGGCAGGATCTGACACAACTTCATCTCTGATAGCAGGAAAAGCAAAACAAAACACACACACTACATGAACACTTTGTGTAGCAGTAATGGCAGCAATAATAACAACATTTAAGAAAAGAACAACCACCACTCTGCAATAAAAAAAAGCAGCTAAAGCAGTAAAGGGATTGTGAGGCTTTACGAACCATTTGATTGGTCGTAAAGGTGCAAATATCCTCCAACGAGCCCGAGCTCCCACAAAACTACCTTAAGCAGTTTAGGACAGCGTGGAGATTAAGGCAATCACATATCCACTGCACAAAATTTAAATGCTTCAGTCAGCAAGTCTGAGCATGCTACAGTCTTCAAAGACACTGAGCTGCTTATTTTTTTAAGCTAATATAGATGAACTAGATTAAATGAGTCTGCTCTCATTCTGACCTATAAACATTTTTTTTTTTTACACTCACATATACATGCTGAAACCATTTCCTGCCTTCTATAAATCTATAAATCCATAAATCCCTATTTTGAATGTTTTGAAACCTGCATTGTTTACATTGACTGCAGGTTTTCTCCTCATCTTTTATCAGTGCATTGCACATTTTATTATCGCTGCCAGTGGTTGATATGTGTTCACTCCCTCTTCAGAAGAAGACTGCTGAATAAATATCAGCTCACTGCTCTTTAGAGAGCATTTGCGTCCTCATCAAAGCTTTTATAAATACTCCTCAAGGAGTTTCAGTTACTTTTACGATGAATGTAGCCTAACTCACGTTAGTGTGAGTTCATATTGTTACTGTTGTCACTAAGGAAACTAAATGTGAAACAGTGAAGACAAAATGCAGAGACTACAGTGAAAATATGAAGATTCTGCAGAAAGCAACGACACACTTCCCGTTGTTTACTTCTGTTTTCTATATGATTTTGCAATTACACCATTTCTGGAAGGGTACCATGCTGGTTTCAAAAGATTTAACATGTGTGGACAGGAGGTAGAAAACATGCTACAAGACAATATCAGGAGAAAGCTGGTGTGGTTTGCAGGATGTTACAAAATTATAACCAGAACAGGAAGTACAAGTGGAAATGAAGTTTTTAGAGTCACATTAAACGCTGGTTGGTTTGTTCTGTCATCACTGTGTGCTCATATCACGGCTCAGAAACCCCTTAGCCACAGAATTGTATAAGCTGTAAAATCAAGACGCATTTGTACATTTCATACACACTCCGCTGCACAATGTGATCTCAACAGATCCAACCATAATAAACGCTGTGACTTAAAGAACGGACTAAAGTTTCCTTGATGCCGATGCTTTACATTCCTCTGAGCTTCATGGTCAGTTCGGTGCCTGTTTTATGTTCAGGACAGGGTGAAACATTCATTGTGGAGTGAAGGCTCCAAGCTTAATATACAGCCTCAGGAGACACCTCAGACTGCATCTGTCACTGATAATGTCCAGCTCTGACAAGCTCTGGACATAATACCAGAGGATGCTTTTACTCTGTGTCATGATCACTGAAAGTTTCAATGGCTGCTACAATACTTATATACTGGTTCTAGTGTTAGTGACTGTAGTACAAGCAGAGCAGTAGTTTTATGTAGTGGCGGTAGAAATATTGTAAAAATCATAATAATAACAACAGTATGACACAATTTAAATAACATACTGTTGTAAAGCCAAAAGGGGGGGGGGGCTCACTCATTAGCAGATGTCTGTCTGGTACAGACTGGTCTCTTAACTTTACTATGGATTACATAATAAATGTGCTCACCATATGGTTGGCAAGCCAATCCCAAATACTCACTCCTCTCGCTGTGGTGTTGTTTTTCCATCAAAGGAAAACCACCACCCTCCACCCCCACAACCAAACACACACAGAACAGTGTCCTCAGTCCTCAGGTGCATGCACACACACCGACACACACACATAGACACAAAATGTTCCAGTTTGTCTTCTTGTCATTCCAACACAGGAAACACAAAATTTCAAGACTTTCCAATGCGTTCAGCTCATCTTAGGTTTTTGCCTGAAGCAGCTGACGTAAATCAGTGTTTGTGAGCATGAACAACTTCATTCCTAAAGCCAGAAACACACAGCATCACTAACACGTGATGTCATCAAAATGCAAAGCCGAAGCCGTTTAAATGACGGCGAGAGTGAGAGACTGACTTTACGGGCTGGTTCAACGCTTCTTTACAGGTGCTTTAGGCAAAATGCAGCAAAAATACCATCCTACAAAACTCAACCTGAGGCCGCAGCAGACAAAAAACACGTCTGACTAAACTGATCTATTTTACCCAAATTAATTTCAACAACAGCAGCAGCAACATACACTTGCACAACCAGCTGACAAATTGTGTTGATGTAGCAAGATTCAACAAACACTGCTCGGGTGTCATCAATGGATGCAAACCAAAATGACCTTACAGGAAACTAGTGACTGGTTGGTTGGTTGACTGGAACAATCAGTGGGCTGACAGGTTTTACTTCAAGTTTGAAGACCGGAAAGTCGTGATGGCTGCCACTGAAGTGTCACATTTTACCTAAACTGTCAACAGAAATATGTTTCTGAAAAATCTGAGGTGAGAAGTGAAATCATTGAGCAATGCTTACATCTGTAACAGCACCTTTATTAGGACAGATCAGGTAGTTAAGAAGTGGTAAGTAAGCATTTAGTCTAAATTTTAATTGCAGCAGCTGCTCAGTGTCATCAACCTCTAAACCACCAGATAGACGAACAGCTTGTGATGAAAACTGAGCTTGTGAGATTTGGGTTGGGGTTTGCTTTATCCAGAAAAAGCTGAACTCAACAATAATAGTTGAACCTGCTTTCACCCTCTCAGTGTTCAGCCTCTGCGTGCAGGTCCACGGTTTTCTCTCAAAACAGTTTTATCTAACAAAGACTGTATCGTTTACCTAAGAAAGAAAAAAAACCCCCTTCTCTCTTTTTAACATTCTTTCATGTTTCATGTTTCATGGGGGGGGGGGTCCAAATTCTTTTTTTTTCAGGGAAAGAAGAATAAGCTGACCTGGCCTAAAGCATGTCTGAGTCCTGAAGTTGAATGGTGTAAGTATGCGAGAGTAGTACTGTGGTCGATTACTAATGTGCTCCCTCACGTGCTGTGGGGAAAAAATGGGCGTTTCTCTTCCTATTCGCCACATGACATTAAATACTCCAGAATGATGTTAAAAGTCTGAGGGATCAGCTTGTTTTGTAGGGAGGAGGCCGCAAACCTGTGAGCAAACCCTGCAGGAAAAACACATGTGTGGAAGGGCTAGGACAGGCCTCCTGTACCATGAAGAAGCACTTTTCTTTTATAGCTATAAAGAAAAGTAAACAGTAAAGGACTGTTTGGCTTCTCTTTGAGAAGAGAAAGGAGAACGTGTCAGCTGAGGGGTGGGTGGCTGGGAAATGGCTGATAATCGAAAGACTCAGACTTAAAAGCTACAACCAATTTATAGTGAAGACAGAAATCAACTAATGGTATTTACTCAAACACAAAACTGGCTCAGGACAGATGTTCTGTCAGCTCAACTTCCTTTCTCTCACAGTGGTTACTTGTTATGAAGTCGTTACCACAAACCTACCGTGAAACCATATCAGCCTAAAGCTCAAGCACAGTGAGCCGCCAAAGACCTGTGGTGGCGTCTGTGTGTGTGTGTGTGTGTGTGTGTGTGTGTGTAATAGAACAACCACACCCTCAGGAAAGAGATGTACAGTCATCCTTTAACAGTTTTTAAAGAGTTTAAAATTACATTATACAACTATCACATGCAGCTTATCATATAATATGTCACATATATTGTGTCTAATAAGATCATAAAGAACTTTTTTTATCCTAGTCAATACAACCACAAGTGTATATACTGTCCCAATATCACATGTTAAACTGCTGCACGCACAGACCTCAGTCCCTCCAGAAATGCCAAAGTAATAACACAGCATTCAAAATACTATAAAGTCACTCACTCAGCCCTATGATGTAATATATTAATTTCAACCTCACAATGGCCGCACAAAAGCACATGACATGTTAAAAACATTTGCTCAAGTGGCTTAAAAAGTGCAGGCTGCTACAGAAAACTCCGCTCAGAGTCATATGGTAGTTACCTCCATCCTGGGGAAAGTGCCAGAGATGGTCCCCTCCTGTTTTTCTTCTTCAGTGTTTTCTGTGTTTCGGGTCCTGGAGCAAAGTGCCTGCTGGTTGTGAGGAGACCGAGAAGCGCAGCGAGGACAGAGAGCAGCTCTGTGTTTATATCTGGAGCCAAATCAGCCGCATGGACGGGAAGGAGGAGGGGACAACTTCCAACGCGCTTCGGGCTTCCTCTGCGCTGTCAAGTTACAAAATAAAATACAGCTTCTGCTAGACTTTCAAAATACATTTTTGGAGTTGTTTTTTTTTTTTTTTTGGGGGGGGGGGGGAGGTTCAATCTACAAACTGACATTGAATCATCAAACATCTCGGGATATATACTAAATCATTTTTTCCCTTGCTGTTTGATATGTTTGGTAGATGCAAACTGGAATTAAAAGTTAGACATAATTTGCAACCCAACCAAGCGATGTATGGTGGGCCTCTCAAACTAATGTGAATGTTCAGTTGTTTGTCTTTTACCATCAGATGGACAGTGTTAGTAGCCTATATAATCTTTTCTTCTTTTTATTATTGAGTTTGAGTTTTATTGAGATAGTAGATACATTGAAAAAGTCGGCAGAAACAGTACAGTGAACAGCTAGAAAACATAACTTCTTATCAATAGTGGGGCAGAGATGCAAAACTGAGGATGGTGTCAGTAGGAGAAAAAAACAACAACACGTTGTTACCCAAATCAAATCATTTACAAAACTCATCAGTCAATTTACCGATCAGACCACACTGTGACACAGAAATGCTGCAGGTCTGCTTTCTGTGAGCCAAAAGCTTCAAGCAGGTTTTTACTCCTGGCCACAAACAAATCTGTGATGTCACCACGTACTTTGCCTTTGCCAACTGATGGAAAACACCTGCTGTGACATCAGTGAATGAAATGTGGCCAGATGAACAACATTTTTAGAGATCCAGTCTAGAATGAAGCCCAGCAGTAGTTTTCAGGCCAAACTTCTCTTTTTACCCTTTTTAAAAATCCTAAATGTACGTTCACCTGAGAAGGACATACTGTATATATCTAGCTATATATGATGTATATACATACGATGTATATATATATATGATGCATAGGCCTATTTCACTTTCAGTCAGCGTTTATAGCTATGTATACCTTTATTTTGAAGCCCAGTGTTTTGCCACATTTGTCTCTGTCTTGACTCAGCTGTGTGAGGTGGACATCACAGACTACAACACTGAGTGTAATTGTTGCTCTATAAGAAATCGGTGGGGGTTGAGTCCTCCATCCACAGTGTGTCCACTCCAACAAAAACTCTCTTTAATATTCTCCTAGACACTCCTGTCTGCGGTACCTAATGGTTTGGTTTATAGCACTCTATTTCCACTGTCTATAACCTTCCGACAATTCCTGCAGACTGTCTAAAAGTTGACTGGAGAAACTCAAAAAACATACAGTCAACATCAACATATCCGATATCTACAAGCGCAGTTCAAAGGTCAGACGTTCAGACGTTCAGACTTGACAATAGATAGATGTGAATTTAATGTAGCAAAAATGCAAATGCCAAAACGGAAAACAGCTGAGGATGATTTTGTTTTCCCTTTTTCAGAGAAGAACTATCTATAGGCTGAGTAATGAGTTGTGTTTCATGCATGGACCACAGGCTGCTGGATTTTCATCAGTTCTTGTTTAAATGTGCATGTCTGAAATACCTGCAGTGAAAGCTTCACCTCCTCCTGCAACCACTTCATGTGCAGGAGCACTGGAAGAGTTTGCTTTCACCAGGCGCTTTGTTCTTGTCCGAATGTGCTGCATTGTGCGTGTCCTCTCCGGTTTTCCTGTGAACCAAGAACCAGGACACACTCACAGCTGGCAAGCACATAAATATTACTATTAGCTGCTTTTCAGTCAAGTACTCTCATCTTGAGTTTTCATGTAAGGATGAAAGATCTTGGAGGGACTCTGCTGTCCTGTCTGGGGCCAGGAGGAAGGAGAGCCAGTCACTCAAGTGGTTTGTGGTGTGGAAATGTAGAGAAGACGTCTAATGGACTCGCTTCGCCAACAGCACGCCACACAACTGCAGAGGAGGCTGTTTCTCCTGCTGGTATACTGACCACGCAGTGCTCCTTACATTGTCTTAAGGCCACAGTACTGGTAGAGCAAGAATAACCATATTGTCATATCAGTTCACATATTCTGATTATCACCAGGGGCTAAAAAATGTATTTTCCACCACTTATGCCTTTTTGTTTACTTGTCAAATAGACAAAAGCCAGTTGTGATCCAGTTTGACAGGTTTGAAATTGACACATAAACAGGCTCTGTTGTCTAGAGAGTTGACATTTGTCCCTCAGTTGACCCAATGTCAAACACTGTTCATGAACAAACACTTCACAGATAACAAGTGGATATAAATTAGCCTCCAAATTGCAGGGAAACTCTTACTAATTTAGAGAAAGAAACAGGGTATTGACTCTTCTTTGTGCAACACGGTTCATTAAACAATGGAAACTCTTTACTAAAAGCTGCAGAAGACGAGGTGATTAGCACCTTATAAATGAAGCTTATTATCATTATTGCTGCCATTAGAGGCATTTGAAAGTGCCGTGTGAGCACCCAGTGGTTTGTAAAAAGACAGAAACACATTTGTGTTTGCCGTCTCACTGTCACCCAACTGTGACAAGACGAGTGCAGAGTGGAAGTGAGGTGGCACATGTTGCAGGGAGACATGATGGGTGAGACTAGACAAGATGAATCACCTCATACTTCTAAATAGGTGGTTATCAAACTCCCTGGGCTCTTCATCAACTTGGCTTTCACAAGCGAACATTTGCAGTGTTACGGACGATTGGCTTCACAGTTAGTTTGGGTTGGCTACAGCAATAAGACAGTGAACCTCTGCAGACTTTCTGGAGGAGAGAGGTTGTTCTGCAGACCCCTCCCCTAAAATAACTTCCATTGTGGCCCAGCTCTCTGTAGCCACATGCATGGACCGGCAGACATAGGGTACCAAACAGGAAGGGAATATGTGTTTCTGATAATTTGTGGAAATGGGCTGAAATGGGGAAGCTGATAAAGGTTTCTTACAGGGGAGAAGTGAAAACATTAAGCATTCATCTACATAAACAGTGGTGTTTATGTAATTTAAAAGCAACATTTGTCCAATGTAAACCCCAGGAAACGTTTGATATTGCTGTTATTCGTCTGCACACATGCATACATACGCGGTGCGTCTTTCCTGATCGCAGTGTACCTTGGCTCCCCCCTCTGGAGGAAAGGACCATTACACCGAAGTGATGTTGGTCTGTGCAGCTGTGTCATTTCCCAGAAGAGATCAACTTAAATTGCAGCAAGTGTCATTAGAAGATGGATACAAATGAAAAGAAAGAGCAAAGCAGGAAGGTAAGAAAGGAATACATGTGTAAATCTATACAGTTTCTGCCAATTCAGGACATTCTACTGGCCCCCGTCTTGTTTGTGGTTTAGTATTGAGTTCTTTTATCTCTTTATGAGGGCTGCCGTATTTCTATATTAACTGCCGTATTTCTATATTAATATCAAACAATATATAACATATATGTGCCTTTAGAGTGATGTTAAGATATATTTCACCTGTAAGGGGATATATTATCGCATATACACATCCTCTGGATATATGAAGATATAAGTTACATAACATATATGAAATACCCATAGTAAAAGTTCTATATGTACATTTATTAAAAATATCTATATGATGTTTTTTATGTGGTGTAATGTTAATTATATAAATTCAGATATATGCACGTTTATTAAAACAACACGTTTGTCAAAATTCTGTGTTTTTATGTTTTTCTTATCAGTGTCTTATTTATTTTAAATATTCATGTCTATTTCTTAAATCGGCTATAATATCAACATATATTGACAGGCTTTGGGATGGATGTATATATAGTTAACATACTGTATGTCTATAATATAAGCATAAATAAATTCAATATATGTACATACAGTATATTACATTTTCACATGGGTAAAGACACAGCCATCCCAACGCTCTTCAGTTTAAATATGTTTTGTGCATTAACTATAAACTTAACAGTTTAAGATAAACACTGATTACACAGTATAAATAGCAACACCATGAATGTTTAATGGGTGTATTCACTACAGAGACGTGAAAGATTATAATTGTTTGTGTGTTATTAGCATAGGCACATTGTGTTTGCCTTAGATGAAGGTCAGATCACAGTTTATGACCAATTACTGCAGAAAACCAGGTGATTCCAAAGGGTTTAGATACTCTCTTATACTCTGTATAATATCACTTTTCTTGTAAAATAAAAGTATTGTTGCTCAGGACCTTTAGTCCTCATGAACCTCGAAATCTCTCAGGTGATACGTCACCACATTTCATCTATATTCCGAATTCTTTTTATAATGCAGATAAGTCACTGTCTTCATATTACAGAGCTCACAGAGTTGAGCAGTGTGGTAGAGGTTTCCTGCTTTAATAGAAGTCATGGCCTGAAAAGCAGAGGCAAAACAAACAAAATTTCTGACGCTGACTGACTTGAATGCGTGAAGGAAGTGTTGACAGCTGTGGACGCGCCGCTCAGACACTCTCTTCATTATCAGCAAAGAAAATAACCAACAGAGGAGTCGTGCTGCTTGTTGATCTTTCCCCAGGTGATGGCAGGATGGTCTGTGGGATATGAGCTTTTTACCCACTGCTTCAGCTCCTCTGGCAGAGATGAATGGCTCGGTGAAAAAAAAAAAAAACTGACATGAGGATGAGTCAGCCCAGAGCGACTTTGTCTCTTTGTATTTGTGCAAACCAAGGCCCCGATGATTCATGGGCAAAATCATGACAGTTCCTTTTAAAGAACAAGATGTATGGCAGACAGAACCTGGAGAACTCTGGGTTTATTTTGGGATTTGACATTGTTCAGGTTAAAAATACATAACTTTGATGTTACCGTTCTTACCAGAGTGCACGAGGTACAAAATTGTACAGTTTCTAATTCAAAATGCAACATCAAAGAAGGATTGTACAGTGGTGTCAAGGTTATGCAAGTGGAGGCAATAAAAGCAATAAGCTGTGCCGCAGCTGACAACCTAATATCTTTCTCATCTTTGAAATGCACTTAGAGCGGCCATTACATTGAATATGGAGATGCAGGGATGTTGTCTGCCAGTGTAAATCTAACTCAGAGCCCAGGTAATATAATAACCCTATCAGATTACATGTGATGGCTGGCACGTATGCAGCCCCCAAAAACCTCAGGGCTCAGGTGGCCCCACACACACACACACACACACACACACACACACACACACATACAACAACAACTTCCCCATTTTCATACTAATCTGCTTTCATCAAGTTGTGTTCCATCTATTCACTGGAGAGATAGCGCACGCGCGCACACACACACACACACACACACACACACACACACACACACACACCGGAATACCCAATTTCAAATCAGCACGACTAATGGCCCAGAGCTAATAGGTTTACTTGTTTTTGTTTTTCTTGATTTATGAGAACAACGAGCAGTATGATAACAACTGTTCACCATACATTAAACAAATCCAATCTGTAGCGGAGACTACAATTAAACATTACAAATGAACAGTCAAATGTGGCAAAACGTCGTCCGTCATTAACGAAGAGGGATCACTTATTAATCTGTGCTGTGGATTGATGGTAATTATGAACTGAAATAATGCGTGTGTTCAACAAGTGCTGACACCAAGCAACAGAAACATGCAGCAGCACACACACAACGTGGAGGAAAATACTTCTGCATAACACTGAGACAGGAAAATGTAAATGACAACTTTTTTTTTGCTTGGAATGAATATTTTCTTGAGATGGCTGAAAACCTCCACCCAGTCCCTGTGAAGAAAAATATCACTGAGTTGTAATAAACTGACTTTGCAGTGAAGTGCGACGCTCTCATCCCTGAATTCCCCCTCAAAGATAAACCAGAACAAACATTTCTCCTCTACACATCTTCAACTAGTTTCCTCTTCAGCTGCGGTTCCTGAACTGTAAAGAAACCTGCAAAACTCTCCCTCGGTGGTGAAGTCAAACAATCCTGTAAATCACGTCAGACCCCGGTCAGGCTCTCATTCAGGGTGGAGATGTGGTCTGTCACACAGAGCTGTCTCTGGCCACGGTGGGCTTGTCTGGGCCGCTGGTGCAGCAGGAAGAGGCGCTTGGCTGCAGCCCTGTACTTCCGGGACATGAGGTTGTAGACGACCGGGTTGATGGAGGCGCTGAGGTAGCAGAGCACCATGGAGGCCATGTTGAACTTCTGGCTCAGCATGGCCGTTTCGTAGTCGTCCACCTGGGCGAACAGGTTCCTGCCGATGTGGTATGGGAGCCAGCAGATGATGAAGGCCAGGACCACCACCACTGAAAGTGAGGAGAAATTGGAGGAGGAAACTAGTGTCACTTAAGTTGACAAATTGGGAAATAAGAGATATGTATAAGAGTTGCATGAGAAAACTGATACTGCTCTTCCTATATAGTAAATATAAGGCTACAGCCAGTTGCTAGCTAGCTTAGCTTAGCATAACGACTGGAAACAGGGGGAAACAGCTAGCCTATGAACAAAATCTGCTTACCAGCACTTTTAAATTCACTAATTAACGACCCTGTAAAACCATATATTGACATTTTACGCTTCATTTTCAGTCGCAATTAAACAAAAGGGACACAATTAGTGAGCTTTGCTTTATTAGTGCTTCGTGGGAACAGTTTGATCAGATTCATTTGACAGCAGAATCTGTCTAGTAACAGTAAACCAATGAGAGGATCAATACACACAATGTAGAAACCACACATGTGAAATAAACACTATTATTCTCAGTGAGATAATATTATGTTCATATAGGGCTCATTTGCTAAGAGGACCGGTTTCCAGGATCTTTAAGTAGCCTATGATCTATGGTCGATGGTCACCCTTGACATTTATTAATGACCAACAGCAATTACAGCGACATCAAAAGAACTTCTCCTTAAGTCCATGCACACACACACACACACACACACACACACACACACACACACACACACACACACACAAGCGCTCTGTGCACGACCTCTCTTGTTCCCCTAAAGTGATGGTGGCCTGTAATTGGTTCCAACCACGCAGTCACATTTTCACAATACAGGCATATAGCGAGCTAATTAGAGCATATGTGCAGCAGAAATGTAGAAATGTCCACCGTGGTGAAAGCACATTATAAAAACAACATGGCTTTATTTAGCTTTTGAAAGACAGAAATCTGAGTGCTGGGTGAGGTAATCACTGAGTCACTGGTATTGATCAAGAAGCCCCTGCAGAAATAATACCACCAATTTGTCTAATGGGGGCAGTGATTTCAGTACAGCTTATAAATGTCAGTTTAATAATTAAAAGAGAGGTATATCTGGCCTGCATGAAGCCAGTTATTTGTTAATGAACAGTAAGAGTTCACTGCAGAGTAGATTTACAGAGAGAACAGATGTTTTATCCGGAAGTGATCGTGTCTTGGTGAATAGGAAAGGTGATCACTGAGTGACTCCTGAGACGTGTGACACCGGCAGATTACAAAGGCGCCATGCACTGCAGGAGCATGTACCTTACCATTAAGGTTGATATATGGAGGCCTCTGATGACAATCCATTCTGGGATTCAACAGATGTGCATACAAACGGCAGAGAGTCTGACAACATGAGCTCTGTGCAGTGTGTGTGCTCTGCTAATGAACAGCATTAATATCCTAATGGATGCATCATGATTCATATTTAGTCAATGCAGATCAGCCTGGTCATGGTCTTACGTTGTAAAACAAGGTTTCCTGCACAGAGTGCCAGATCTGCAAATTAAGCCAATCAGTAAGTGCAGTGGCAGGACATGATTAGCCTCAGACAAAACAGAATAATTAACCGCTGACATCAACAGCAGCAAACATGGCACCAGCTTTTTTTTTCTTCAAGGAACTTGCAGGATAAAAGAACCACAATGAACCACATACAGAGAGCTGGATTTTTTTTTATGCCAAACAAGGTGAAACTACTTTGGGTTTTAAATGGAGTACAAATCTATTCTTTGAATATATGTGGGAGCAAAAGTTCAAGTTGCTACAGCAAACACACTCGACTGAGTCAGAACCCTAACCCAAAAAACTTACTTACAAAAAATTACTCGCAAATTACAAATGTGAAACTTTGGTGTCATGGTGTTGCTTTCTGATATACAGAAAACATCATGAAACTCAATTGGAGCGGTTCAGGTGTGTTTTTGACCATCATGATTGCTGCCCAATGTCAGTGTGAAACAAACATGCATCTGTCTGCTGAGAAGAAACAACCCACTCACCCAGTATCTTGACTGTTTGCCTGTGGGACCTCTCCCGGGCCAGAGCGCAGGGGCCTTGCAGGTCATTTTTGCTTTTCCACAACTTGCACCCGATGGAGCCGTAGAGGAAGATGAGGCAGAGCATCGGGCAGAAGAAGTAGGTGGTGGACACCCAGAGCATGATGTGCAGCTGTCCGGAGCTGATGGCGTAGTTGGTGTGCTTGCACTGCCCCGTGTTGTAGTCCGGGTGTGTATCATTGTCATACTCCACCCCGACCAGGAAGAGCGTGGGAGCTGCAGAAACCAGGGCGAAACCCCACAGGGCGAGGATGATGTACTGCACCCTGCGTCTGGTCACCACCACCTTGCTCCTGAGGGGGAAGCTGATGGCCAGGTAGCGCTCAATGCTCAGGGCCGTGATGTGGAGGATGGTGGCCGAGGTGCAGCCCTCGAATATGTAGTGGTAGAAGCGGCACACGGCCTCCCCAAACAGCCAGGGCACATACTTCCACAGGCGATAGAGGTCAAAGGGCAGGCAGAGGAAGATGATGAGGTCGGACACTGCCATGCTGGACAGGTAGAGGTTGGTGGTGGTCTTCATGTCCTTGAAGTGCTGGATGATGAGGATGGTCATGGTGTTGCCCGTCACCCCGACGATGAAGATGAGGATGCAGATGACGGTGACGGGGATGAGGGTGGAGGTGGGGAACAGGGAGCCCTCGTAGTGGTGGTCGTCTGCGCTGTAGTGGTCCATGGCCTCTGCTCCCCCGGCATGAAGGTCCACCTGTGGTCTGGTCCAGGGCATGCCAGCCTCCACTAAGTGCTGGTGCAGTAAAGTGTGAAATCAAGACTCAACAGGCAGCTGAGGGGAAAAAAGATGAGATGTTAAAGGACCAAGCTGGAGTTTTATTTTTTGCAAGTATTTATCTCCTAAAATACAAATTATGCAGACTTTACTGGAGATTTTATTTTTCTATTCTTCTGTTTTTCCGATTTCACACAGCACTGCATTTCCCTGTAGCAATAATGTAAACTCTGACAAAGTGCACTTTATGCACTTTGTGCTCAAGTGTCCGCCAGGTTATTTTTATACGGTACAGAAATACAAAATATATTCACAACTGTGAAACACACCAACATGATTTTTGAAAAAGTAGCTGCGATATAAAGTAAAAGCAGATCGTAGTAAAAGGGCTAAAAAACATGCAAACTCACTGTCAAAAATAACATCCTGGTGTCAAAGGAAAAAAATCTTTGCTGGTGACATTACCTTTAAAATTGAGCTGGATCTTTCACCCTCCTAAACTTTTGCTGGGTCTCTGTTGTGTTACTGTGTCGATGGAGAGCAGCAGCAGCAGCAGCAGCAGCAGCAGGAGAAGTGGCACACACACAAAGTGGCAGAGCAGGTCCCTGATGCTGAACAGCCAGTCGAGCTCTGGAGAGAGACGAAGAAAGGACCACCTCCTCCACAGCACCCTAAGGAGTCGGGGAGCAACAGAGGGGCAGTCTGCTCTGTGTTTGTGTGTGTGTGTGTGTGTGTGTGTGTGTGTGTGGGTGTGTGTGTGTGTGTGTGTGTCGAAGTAATCTGCGTAATCAAATGATGACGGGATGGATGACGGAAAAAGGCATAAGATGGAGGGAATAAGATTTGAGGGAACCCCACCACCACAACTACCACCTCCCCCACCCTCACTGCTGCTCCTCTGGGAGAATGAATGCAGATTGAGGATCATACTAATCTGGACAAAGCACAAATACGTAAGAAATATACACATAAAGAGGGCTATAACTTTATCAATGACTGCGTCAATCACTGAAGTCTCAGTGTGTCTGCCGAGCCCTCTGGAAGCAGTCAGCGAAAAACGAGTTCTGGTGTTTGCTTAATTGTCCACCAGCCCCATCTGTCTCTGCGCTCGGCGTCATCATTCCACACTCCACCACCAGCTCACTCCTTCCTCCTCACCCCAGAGTTACCTGTCACGCTTGTTACAACAAACTTAACCTCAGCGATGCTGGTCAGAGAGGAATGCCACGAGGTTTGGTCTAAAGAGGTCAAAAGACCGAACAGACATCTCGAGTGTAAAAATCAGGCAGTGATCCACAGACTATGGTTTAAAGGGGATTAGTTGATTTTAGTGTGAATTCTTGTGCCTGGTTCAGGTTTAGATTCTGGTTTTCAATATTAGAATACCAGCTTTAATCTAGTGTGACCTGCAACAAGTCAGCGCGCAATGATCTTGACTTCACATCCCACTAATCCACAAATTCAGAGCTTTTCAGTCTGATTTAACGGTTTGGAGTGAGGGAAAGAGTCTGGCAGGCTCTGCAGATCAAAATGAAAAGTGGGAAATTGTTGCCTCTGTGTGTAAATTGAACTGTCCCTATTTTTATTTTTATTTTTTATTTTTGAAAGATGGCATTCCCCATCTAGTGCATTGCAAGTGAAAGAACATGCACAGAGGTGTATTTTCACTTCCTGATCTGCAGGTTTTTCCTATATTGTGCCAAAGCCTGGCTGACCTGCTGGATGACCACAGTGTGCTCTGTTGGTTCAGAGCCACCACATCCATTAGATCTCAATGAACCTTTGTAACAAGAGTCACACTGACATCAGGGGTGTATTTGTGTGTTTACACTGAGCTGATCCACGGCCGGATGCGCCACTCGGACCTGAGAGGGGGCAGCAGGAACGTCCCTCCTCTGTCACTGTTTACTCCTGTCAAAGCAACAGGACCAGGAGAGCTTGTTTGCCCATTTTTTTTTTTTTGTGTGTGTGTGTGTGTGTGTGTGTGTGTGTGTGTGTGTGTGCGTGTGTGTGTGTGTGTTTTAAACGGTTTCTAGTCTGTCTCTCAGCAAGACCCAATGTTGCACACAGCAGACTGGTGACTGAGACAAGCAAGCCCACTTTCACCCTCATTAATCATGGCTCTCTTGCTTACACCAAACACTTAGGTGTGCTTGTGCAACTCCTACATCTTCCCTGAGAAGCTTTCATTCAGCAGTGTCTCTCTCTCTCTCTCTCACACACACATACACACACACACACACACACACACACACACACACACACACACAAATCCTCACACACAATACTCTGAAGTGTACCAGCAGTGCTGAAGTCTCAAGAAATAAAGATCAGGCAGAAGAAGTATCCCTATCATGAAGATAAGATTGAATAGTTATTATTGGGAGCTGACCATATTTCTACTTAAGGCTTGGACACAGCTTTTCTTGTCTTGAGACACAGAGTGAAAAAGGAAATGAGGAAGGAGCCAAGGAAAGAAAAGAAGAGAAGCGCCATTTGGATTTTGGCCACTTGTCTGTCACAGTGCTGCTCATCTGATTCATGTCGGTAAAAGTCTTTATCTGTTCCTTTGTTTTAAAAATATCATAAATAAATACAGTCCGATTATATATCTTTGCTCACAGCTCTGTGTCTTTGTTGGATGTGCAGACATTAATTACATGTCAAACTTTGTTTGCTTCACACCATGAAACATAACAACAGGACATGAAATGTAATGGTAATTTTTTTTGTGTTAGCATTATTAACTGTACACACATCAAGACTGAAATACAATTTCTCCTGAACCTTTTTAGATAATGACCTTGGAAATTATCAAGTAAAAAGCTTTATTTATTTCACACAGAAGTAACGTGGTGAAATCTAGTGGCATCTGGCTTAAAGAGGAGTGTGAAAAATAAGGATTAGAAAAAAGGAGTAATATAAAATAAAATATAAATAAATAATAAATATAAAATTTCCAGGCTTTTCTGTTGTGTATGCAGTGAAGTAAATGAGTACAGCACATGCTGTCAAATATTATATACTGTAATTGATAGTGACGATAATGTGGTGGAAGATAAAAATAAATGTTTTCTCTTTCACCACTCTCAGTCTTCTGAGTGTAGGGTGCTTATACTATGGCTGGTTTTTATGGGGCGAGAACAGTGACAGGAAAACTTTGACATTGAAAAACAAATGTGGCATTGAACTGAACTGAAAAAGGACATGACATTGAAAAACTTGTATTGGAAGAAGGTGAATCGGCACTAAAATAAATATTGTCACTGAAAAAGGTTCCACTGAAAGATAAAAATTAAGAAAACACAATCTTGTTATCTTATTATTCATATCTTTTCTGTCATGTGTTTTTCAATGTCCATCTTCAGGTTTTTTTCCTTCATGTCTGTCTTTTTTCAGTGACAGTTTGAAAAATATCAACCTTAAATAAGATAATAATATTGTAAGTTTGTGTTGTTTGAATGCCAGCATTTTATTTTTCAGTGGAACCCTTTTCAGTGCAAATACTTTTTCCAATACAAGTTTTTCAATGCCAACGTCCCCTTTTTTAGTTCAGGTTTTGTTTTCAATGCCAAAATTGAACGTCACTGTTCTAGCCTCATGTGTTTTCCTTTTAGGTTTTATTTACGGCCAGTTCCATTGGCTAAAAAAAGTCTCAGCAGCCGAGGCGAGTACTGCCGTAGATATCTGCAGGTTAATAGGCCTCACACACTGATGTCAACCAGGTGAACTGTTTGACTGAACCGTGTCATCAGAGCTGTGTGTTATAACTGATGAGTTGTCAAAGACAAACATACACCCAAACTTCACACACGAGTAAGAATTATAAATCTTTTATTGTGCATGGATCCTTTGTAGATATCATGGCTATACAGATACACTTTAGATACATACCTATGATTATACATTTTTCCCATAACGAACATTTTAAAGTGATATGTCTGGTAGTATGTATAATATAACAAATTTTCATTTTGGAATGTACGGTGTATGAGGTAACTGCAAACATTAAAATTACATAAAAATGGTCTCTATTTTTGTGCATATTTTACTCATTTTTGTAGCATTTTGTTAATCTCCCCAGCCAAAGGTAGTAAGCCCCGGGTGAAGAGGTGTTAAAATGGCACACGTTGCAATCGCTATCAAAAATAGGAATTTGAATTCTTTAAATGACAAAGAGAAGACATTTGCAGAATGTCCCAAAGACCAAATCATGTAATTATCCAAGACGTTTTGCAAGGTACCTGTATTTCATTTTTACGGTTGCAACAGCTGTTTTCTGCCCAAAACCAAACAACACTAGACCCTACAGCCAGATTACCAGTGAAAACTCAGCATTAGCAATCTGTTACGAATACTTAACACACAGAGTAAAGGCAAATTTAGATTCACAGGAAGTACATGATATTTTGTATCTGCCATTTGCGTTCCATGATTCATGAGTACTCAGGATTTATTATTTTCTCTGGAGAGTATTAACTTATATTACTTCAATATTATAAAAAAATATACTTCACACATGTATAACCTGACAAAAACAAAAATCAAAATAAATCATAAGTAATACATAGAACTACTTTTCATTTCTCTCACGATTACATATGTTTACTAACATCAAATAAATGTTGCAAAAATAAAAGGAAATAAAACACATTTTAGTGTTTTCTAACACTAAAAGAAAAACATCAAAACTTAAGAGAAATTAAGAAAATTCTCCCGAGATTTTTTCCTCTCCAATTAAGGCCTCTGAAACAACTGGTACGTACTTTTTTCAGTGTTTTTTATTTATTTATTTTTTTAATTATTTTTTTCTTTTGTTTTTGCTGAGATAGATCAGCTGTTTCAGTGACACGTTATGTGGTACTACAACTTTTAAAACACCCAAAACACAAGTAGGGCTTGCACAATCTCAAAGTGTGTTCTATAAAATGCATCACAAGACCAAGACGCAATCAGTCAAGGTTTTCTTTCACTAAGGTGCAAAATCAATTACTGGGGGG